ATGTTGACCACCAAACATTATCAGTCTATTTGATGCATTTATGAGCTTTTTCTCAGTAGTATAGAAGACTGAATAAACCTGTCGTTGAATAAACCTTCCTTTTCAGTCATTCAAATTACCACTTGCTGAAATGATACAGAGTGAAAAGCGGTACGAAGAAAAGAGGCTGTAGAGTTGACAAAATTTTGCATGACGTCTCCATAAAATCTGAGATGGCTTTGATGCCAACGAGGCTGAAAGAAAGTTTTGCAAGTATAGCACATAACGGTTTTGTAAAACCCACTTCTGAAAAGAGACTTAACAAATAACGATTATTCACTACCATTTCTTTCGAAGAAATTTGTTATTCCTTATTTCTTCGAAAAAGATCAATGCCTATCATTACCTTGAAATTTCTGTTTCTGCTTTCTAGTCCCTTACCCCTGTAAAGCTAAATGAATTCCAATTTTAGCTTTCCTACTCTGTGCATTCGTTTATTTTAAATTTCCTTTTACTACTTGTGCTACTGTGCAATATATGCAATATATGCAAAATTTGCAATAAAGGCTCCTTTTTAGTTGGAAACTTGTAGCACTTTTGATTAAAATAAATCAAGATGACAGTTTAATCGCGGTGAGGCAACGGGCAGGTTTGAGGAACTTTCATATTTTGCTATTTTTAATGGACAGGAAAAGAAGCTCAAGAGAACGCGATATAGAGACAAAAATACTGTATGAGCGAAAAGTAAGAAATGAGTTCCCCAAAACGCTTCTGACAAAGAATCGAAAACTCGGTAAGAAACTCTACGCAAATGCTTATTGTGAGTATGGGCAAAAGTTTCATCAGGATCTCTATCGCTGGCAAAAAAATGTAAACCCCCCTCCCCCTACAGATGGCGTTTATCTTGGTTGATTGGGCTGGTCTTTGTTTTCCTGCGTGGTAAATCTTTAATTTTTGACCTGTCCAATCAACACTGTTCCTTCCAAAGTTCAGCTTAAACTGTATTCCGCAAAAATTTGACACATTTCTTTTCTATTCTCTCTTTCCAAACGGTGGTCTTTGCTTTCAAGTTTAAGAAGTTTTTAGAAGCACAATTTTTCATGGATTTTTTTGTTTTTTTTTATCTGTCATTATCAAAATGCGGCTTAAGATTGCATTTAAGTTATATCTTAAGCAACAGAACGGAAATGAAGCTGTGGAATGCTTGTTGCGTCTCAGTTACGTTTCAGTGGTTTTTTTTTCTGCCCTT